AAAAAAAAATTTGTAAAATATAAAAGATTAAAATTTCCCAAACTGTTCTATAAGATGATAATGTGTTCCACAGGGAGAAAAAATTCCAAGGTCAAATAAGTTTAGGAAAAACTAGATTAAACATCTTTTTCTGAAGTTCTTTGCAAAGTATTTAATATACTAATGTGTACTATGAATTCCCAAAAGGAGGATGTACTATATATACAGTAGTTCTAAAACTTAATCGACCATATTTGTGGAACACTTATTAACAGCTCATGGAACATAGTTTAGGAAACACTGCATAATACTTAATGACGTCCCTAAACAAAATATACTGATATACTCGAACGTAACTCGTAACTCAGTCATCATAATAAATATCAATTATCAGACAGTACCTAACCATACAAGAGGATCTACCTCCTCTCTCATGGTGATCTGTGCTATAATCAGTGGCAGCCTGCCTCCAAGCTAAGAGCCTTTCTTCTCCTCCAACATGCTGTTTCTCATCTGTTGTAGTCTGAGAAATCAGGTAACCAAGATTATTAGAACAGTGTGCAAGTAAATCAATAAGCTCCGAATGATGGGCCAAGGGCCTCTTCTAGAGAATACACTGCACAAACTTCAGTGCAAGAGTTTTATGAGTTATTTCTGCGGCTAAGGCAACAACACGCTTTCTTCCCAGGTCTTGGATATACGGCAGAGACCTGAAATCGTCAAAATTACAACCTCTGCCTAAATAAAGGTACACAACCTCTTATCTCCAATATTGAAATCTAAAACAGACCTGAAAACCCAAAGTACTTTCATGACCCATTGTGTGGTAAAATCTGAGCAATCTTGATGTGAGACTATTTATAGTCATTAGTTATGCCAGTTGGTGTGACTATCAATATGTTTCATTGTAGAAATATCTCTGTTTTATTATGAACTGCTTCCTCAAACCTATTAGGAATGTTATATAATAATAAACAATATAGGTTTACTATTTGCTGTCTATAATAACATCTGAAAAATTCTGAACTCCAAAACATACCAAACCCCAATTATTTCAGACAAAGTATTCTAGGCCTATATTATGCTTCTCCTGAAAGAATACAAAATCAAAAAGAAAAGTAGAACCACCATCACAGGACACTTGATACACAAGATCTTTAAATTCTTTGTGTATTTGTGTCTAAGGCTGCAGACATAAAAGAAACAATCTGAAAAACTAAAAAAGTGTCAAAGTAGGACAACTGTATCATACAACTGTACACAAAGTGTTCTAACTTCAAATGGCTACAAGTCCATATCCTCTATGGGAAGAAAGCTAATACTGCTCATTACTAGAAAGATTACAGATTGTTTCATCAGACCTATAAACCAAGTTATCTAAGAGTTTTAAACCTGTAATAAAGACTATATGACCCTCCTCAAAATGGATTACTGGAATCCTGACCAGAATTCCCGATAATCTTAGTAAAAGAATGTTATCTTTATGCTAGTTGACCTTTATCTTTCCCCCAAGGAAAGAGTGGAAAAAAGACATTATTTAAAGCACTCAGGAACTTGGGGGTTATGTTTGCGTCAGACTGGCAAGCACTTGGTAGGACCCAAACTTACCTGTGAGAAGCAGCCTTCTTTGGTGCAAATTCATATTCTTCTGGATACCAGCGTCTATACACAGCAGAAATGGAACTCTCAAAGGAAGCTGTCTCAAATACACTGAATAATTACCTCCTTCAAGTAATACATTAACATTGGAAAAGGCATTTGGGTTGTGATTCTCAAGTTGCCTCTTTGCCAGGGGACTCTATTTTCCAACTTGTCCTCTCTTTATATATTCCCTTTGAGCAAGCTCATAAATGACTCTCTAACTCCAGCCTAGCCCTTTTTAGAGTTTCTGTCATGGATATCCAACTACCTACTGGACCTCCCCACCTAAAAATCTACCAAGTACTTCTAATTCAAGATATATAAAAACCACACCCATCATTCTCAACAACTCCCCTCCCCCATCCACCAAAGCTACTCTTCCTCTTAGTTTCCCCTTTTCTTTGAACAGTTCCATCATCCACCTAGCTGTCCAGACTAGAAACGTATGAATCACTTTATACCTCTTCCTTTTCCTCATTTCCTTATTCAAGCATTCAGTGCCTGCCAGCTGACCCTCTCAAACATTTATCTCCATGCCCCTCACCACCACCCTATTGCCATTTCTCCAGCTCATTCTTCTCTCTCCAAGATGATGCAAGGTCTCCTTTCTTATCTCCCTCCTCTTTTCTTGCCATCCTCTAATCAGAATGATCTAATCATATCACTCACTCTTCTACTTATACTTTCTCAGAGGAACCCCCAACCCTTATGAGATAAAACTGAACTTCATTAGCATAGAATACAAGCCATTCATACACTAACCTTGCCTCCCACCTTTGCCAACCTCATGTTTTGCACTCCAGCATTAATGAATGGTTTGTGATTCCTTGAACACATTTTGCTTAGCTTCCTGCTCCCTCACATCTTCAGACCTTTGACCGCTCTCTGGAATGCTCTCTCAATTAAATGCCTGGAAAACTTCTATTCTTTTTCAAATCTCAATTTAAAAGCTGTTTCCTCTATAAAGCTTTCCTGACTTCTCATTCCTCCTGCTCCAGCAGTAAGGTGCTGCTTCCCTTGTGCCCACAATATTCTATAGGCACAGTTCTGTAACAGAAGTCATCACAGAACACATTTTTAGGATGTGTTTTTTTACACATCAACCCACTAGATTCCAAGCTACTTATGGGTTTTTCATCTACGTGTGCGGAGCAGATAGGCCAATGCCTGGCATGGAATAGGTGCTCAATAAATTTTACAAATTAAGGAAATTTGTATGAAAGATTTTTCACATTGTTTTTCCCAATTTTCACCAGTCCAGGATAAATTAAGGTCCTGTACAAGCGAGAATGGGATAAGGAAGCTTTAAACCCACTTGGCACCCTCATTTCTACAGCTCTATTCAATTACTTTCCACAAATTCTCAATTAAAACATGTTAAATGAGGTAATTTAATGGATCCTAAATATAGCCCTTACCTGCACAGTTCTTTAACAGTGCTCACATCAATTATTCTATAATGAAGATGTTTCATGAACTGGGGCATGTATTTGTCAAGAAACTTCTTATCTGCATGAACTGAATTTCCTAGAAAGACATGAAGCATACTGCATCTCTGTATTTCTAGTAGTATACAACAGGATATCAAAATTCATAAATTGTAGTTGAAATGGAGATGATTTTTTTAAAACTCAAACAATTCCTAAAAGCACCTCTAAATTTCTATGTGGGTTTGAATGAAGCTGATTAGCTCACAAGTATAGATTACCAAGTATTTAGTCAGTCTAGCTCATAATAAATGTGTTTATGGCCTCTCATGAACAAAAGGATATATCTATCATTCCACATGCTTAAAACAATGCACACATCTCTTTGTCACTTTTTAAGACCATACCAGATCCACAAACTTTCTCCCAGTGTCACAAAATCCACACCACTAACACTAAAAATTTAACTAAATCACGTAAGTAGATAAACTTTTATTTACATTCCAAATTCTTTAACAAATCATATCCATACTCATGTTTTCATACAGTAGTTTATATTAAAAACACTAAATTTTAAATGAGAACTTTAAAATAGACATCAGCCACATTGGCTGGGGGAAACACTTATACAATACATGCTATAGTACTCAATGCCAAAATTTTTTTTATGAATGTTTATGGAATATGTTAGTTACCACATCAATTTACACATACAAATACACCTTCAGAGAACATTAACTTCCCTCTGTCAATGTCAGCCCTTTAAAAATCCTGGTAGAACTGGCCTGGTCTAAGTCAATGTCAAAGGGGAAAAAAAAAAAATAGGTGGACGGTTTTAGATTAAGAGACATAATAACAAAATGAAATGTACAAGCCTTGATTGAATCCTGGTTCAAAAACAATTAGACAATTCAGGGAACTTCGAATGTGAACTAGCTATCACATGATATTGAATGATTTTTAATTTTCTTCAGTGCAATAATAATACTGTGTTACATAAGAAAATGTCCTTATTCCTTTTTTTTTTTTTTTTTGAGACAGAGTCTCACTGTGTTGCCCGGGCTAGAGTGCCGTGGCGTCCTAGCTCACAGCAACCTCAAACTCCTGGGCTCAAGTGATCCTCCTGCCTCAGCCTCCCGAGTAGCTGGGACTACAGGCATGTGCCACCATGCCCGGCTAATTTTTTCTATATATTTTTTAGTTGTCCGATTAATTTCTTTCTATTTTTAGTAGAGACAGGGTCTCGCTCTTGCTCAGGCTGGTTTCGAACTCCTGAGCTCAAACAATCCGCCCGCCTCGGCCTCCCAGAGTGCTAGGATTACAGGCGTGAGCCACCGCACCCGGCCGAAAACGTCCTTATTCTTATGAGATGTTTGAAGTATTTAGGAATGAAGTGTCATGGTGCCTGCAATTTACTTTCAAATGTCCAAGAAAAAATAAGAAAACCAAACATGGCACAAGGTTAACAATTATTAAAATCAACTTTTCTGTGCATTTGAAATTTTTCCATAATAAAATTATGAGGGAAAATTTGATTGTGTTACTCTTGTGTTTCCCAGATCTCATATCAGGTTTCAGGGTATTTTCACAATACTCATGTTATAAACTATACAAAGAAATTTGAACACAAAATTGAGATGTATAACCCAAAGCAGGGTAAGTGGAAGACATGGATGGCCTTGGCTGGTCTTTTTGGAATTGCAGTCTCGTGAACCACTACAATGAAAGACTATCTACAAGATATACACATAGGATTGGATTTTACCTGCAAGTGGACAGAGCCCCGGAGGAGTCTGCTGTCGTACAAAGGACAGAAATTCATACTCTGCCTGCTGCAATGTAATTGTACTCTCCTTCACTGCCTTGGTAAGACCAGACTGCAAGAGAGAATCCCCAGCCCCCCACCAGAAACACATGAAGTCAGTTTTCAAAGGCATCCAGAAATGAAACTTCACTTCTAAAATGGGAAAATATAACCAGAGATGGATCATTCTTAGAGCTCAAGTTCAAATTGAAACTGCCATCTTTGCACCAATTTTTCCTTAACGAATCCAAGCCAAATAAGTTATGTTCCTGATTGTTAATAGCATTTCCACACAGTCAAAAAAGACGGTGCTCAAAGTCCAAGGATATAACCTTTAGGAAGAAACAACTATTAACAGGAGAGCAGCATTCCCCCTTCTCTGAAAGTTGATGTCTAACCTTATCCAAAAGACTGACTTGAGTAATACTTGACAATCCACAATGCGTTCGCGACAGACTGAATGTAGAAGAGAAAAAAACAGGACATTCAGGAGAAGATGATCTCGAGAGGTCCCAAAGATGAAAAGTAAACAAGCAAGCAGTTTCCCAGGCTTGTCAAGCAATCTTCCTCTAACCCTTTTTTAAATACCATCCAACAATGGTATAGGATTCGGATGTGAGAGCAACAAGCTTGTTACTGATCCCCAAAGCAGCAATCCTGTTATTTGGTAATGTTACCTTCCCGTGATGCTCCTTACACCAATCTGACATGCTGTCCAGCAACTCATCTGGCTGTTTTATAATCAGGTTAGGACCCTGTGGAGGGGAAAAGTCATTAGTCATCAAGAATCAACAGGAATAACTTTGTTTTCAGAGGTAAAGTTTAAGCTGCTTTATGGACTACATATACGTATCAGAGAAAGTAAAAGGATACTTTGTTAACTCTAAAAGTGGTCATGTTCACTCCAGCACTGTTTATGATGATGAAATAGAACATACATCCACAACTGAAGACCAAAATATCTATTAATAGAGGACACAGATATCTATCAAGGGTCAGTAAATTATGGATCCAGCCCTCAGCTAATTTTTTATAGCCAGAAAGCTAAGAATGATTTTTACATTTGTAAAGGATTGTAAGAAAAAAAAACAAAAGAAGAACACATGATGAGAGGTATATCACACTCAAAGCCTAAACTATCTGGCCCTTTCCATAAAGTCTGTCAACCTTGATTATGAGTTCATTTTGAAAAGTGTGCACATTATCAAGTGAAAAGCAAACTGCAAAACAGTACATACATGCATATGATTTCATTTACACTTGTTTAAAAAATACATATAT